GTTTCCACCATTTATTATTTGTAGAATCAGCATTTTATTTTATTTATTTAAAAACTTTATTTTTAATTGATTGTTTACAATAGTTTTATAATCAACAAAAATTAATTAAAATCAACACACTAAACTGTATAAGACAATACAAACAAACATACATATCGTAAAATAAAATAAAATAAAATAAAAATAGTTAAAAATTAATATATATAAAAATATATATCTCAATAAAGAAAACTAGTTAGTTATTTTCGACGTAAAAATAAAAAATAAAAAAAGTTTTTTCGACAGACTTTACAAAAACAAGATTTTCCGTTTCATTTTAAAATACTTTTTTTTGAACATCTTTAGACATAGTTACATTGTCTAGGGAGTTCCATAGCGAGGTTGCTCTTTATAAGTTACTTTTTATGAACTTATGTTTAGAGACTATGGGTGGGAGTACTAATTTTTTACTACACCGAAGACTTAACGGCAGAGGTTTTTTGATAAAAAGATCTAGCATTAAATCTGAATTTAAACCATTTATAGATTTAAAAATTTCAGTTAACAAAAACCTTAAATTTCTAAGGTGAATACTTGGGATATTTTCTATTTTTTAAATTTCTTCTAATGGGAGATCAAATCTTTTATAGGCAATGCGAAGTCCTTTTTGATGAACTTTATCAATTAGGTTATTATTATACTTCGAAAAAAACATCCAAATCAAAGGACAATAGAAAAAATTTGACAGTATAAAAGCATTGAATAAAACAGTAGCTTGTTTCACTGATAAGAAGCTCCTTATTCGTGCAAGAGCGAAGCATTTACCATTCGCTTTTCCACACAGACTTTTAATATGATCATCAAATTTTAAATCCTTATCAATTGTAACCCCGAGAAGTTTAACCTTAGAGGAAACCATGATTTTTACATTTCCAACCATTAAAAATTGATCTTTACAATTTTCAAAGCCAGCTAAAAAATAGAAATTTGTCCAGATTTGCAACCATTTTATTCAAAGTAAATCATGAAATCGCGTTTGATGTTTCTATTTCAAGACGAGCAACAACACTCTCTAGGTTTTTGTCACAAACAGAAAAAGTGTTGTCATCAGCATAGTTGCAGATATCAGAGTCTTTTATAAATAAGAAAAAATCGTTGATAAAAATATTAAAGAAAATTGGTCCCAAAATTGAGCCTTAAGGTACACCAGATTCCATATCTAAATATTCAGAAAATGACGATCCTAGTCTTAACCTCTGTTTGCGAGCAGAAATAGAGCATTTTAAGAATGTTTCAGTTTTTACCACTTTGGTAAAAACTGGAACATTCTTGGCTTAAAGTAAAATATAAAAGAATGATCAAAAAGCATATTGAATAATAAAAGTGATAAAACAAAATAATTTTTCTATTGAGTATAAACATTAAAAATTTTCAATTTTTTATAACTCTTAGCATAAAAAACAAACAATTTAAAACAATCAAAGCGATAACTACGATTCTTATATAATAGATTTCACAATTTATATTTTACCTAGTATAGAAGAATAATAATTAAGTATAAATTTTTTTTTACATTACTTTTACATTACTTTTAAAAACATTTCCTGTTTTTACACAGCCCCTCAACTTAATCCTATTAAGATTTTTTTTTCTCAACTTACTGTTAAAACATTTGAAAAATAAAGTGTTTTTATTACGAAAATAATTATGGACGCGACGAAAATAATTCTAGACTATTCTGTAATTAAAATTAATATTTTTCTTTTAATCATTTTTGTAGTTTTTTTTTTGTTTAAAATAATTCAGAAAATGATTACTTAATTTACCGAGTAAATTTAAAAGCCGTTTTTGACTACTTGCAGCATTGGAAGCATAAAAATATCTATAAGTAAAAAAAATATATAACCCAACAATTTAATAAGAATATGTTTTATATATAATATAACAATATTATATATGTTTGTGTTTTATATAATTTGTATGTAAAAGCATTATTATAATTAGAGAATAATTAGCAAAAAAGAAAATCCAAAAGTTAAAACTATTGATGCATATACGTTGTGCCAACCAAGTATAAACAAAATAGTAAGTCACTGAGCATATTTACTTTCATTCAACAATTTTGAATGATTAAGTCACTGACTATGTTTATTTTCATTTGAAAATGTACATCTCGGATGATTAACTAATTTTTTAGGGTTGGACAATTTTATAGCACCTTCAACGAAGTGTGCAAATGTTTTATGGAACTTAATTTAAAAATTATATAGCATTTTATGATTGTCATGTTCGTATACAATGTTTTCTATTGATTTTACTTGTATTTTTAAATCTTGTTTATAGTTAGAGTAAAAAACTTTTTTTCTAATAGAAAATAATAATGCTATTTTAAAATTTGTAATTGTTGTGAGTATTGCAACTTTACATAGTAACTCATTATTATTGAGTTTATTTACATTATTACGGAGACTTTAATTAATATTGTAACAAGGATTTTAATGCAGGGGAAGTTGGGGTACAATGGATCGAGGGGCCCAGTGAATAAAAGGCATTTTCTAAAACAATAAAATTTTATTCATCTTGATAATGTAACAATTTTTTGTGCTCATATATCAGCCATCTTTATTTATAGTTGTT